GGAGCAACTTTTTTTTGCTCTGGTCGTTGTTTATTGAAAATTATTCGTCTTTTTAAGAGGAAGAAGGCTAAGAAGAGGTGAAAGTGGGGGAAGAAAAGTTTACTAAAGAACCTTTATTGACCAACTTATTTGATATTCCATTTAAATTTTAGTACCTTGTTATAATAAAGAATAATTATGGAAGATAAAGAAAAAGAAGAAGAGCATAAAAACTTACGTATTATTACACGGCCCAGTTACACAAGATCGACATTGTGGTGACGGAAGTGGTACAGTTTCAACTAAAATAAAGCCAAGTGCAACCAGAGTAATCGTTACCTTTAACAGATCTTGACTAACCATTCTGAGATCAATCTGAAAACAGTGGCTATAAATGCTAACTTTAAAAAGACAGTGTTTATTTACTCAAACGAAACGCTGCAACATGGAAATGGTCGACTTATTACTGAAAATACAAACAATAATAGCGTGTTAAAGCCGTTTATATATAATAAAGCATGTTGTTAATTCTCTTAGCATTTACATGAAGTCTACATTACTGTTGGCTCAGACAATAAGATATGATCAATGAAAATTAATGAAATAAAAACAGTACTGTCTGCTCAGGAAATGCATTTATTCTTTTTGCAATAATTGTCAACCATAAGAAGCGAAAAAACTAAATAAATTCAGTTTTTATATTCAACTGTGAGTGCAAAATGTTGTTCAAGAAATATTAATAACAGGCGAACACGGAACAAATGTGTGGTAAGAGTTTTGCTCAATTAAATACCCTTTCAGACAAAGTACAGTTGCAAATGACACTTGGTCTACACTGGTTTTAGCGAACTATTATACATGGTTCTAAAGCACAGCTGGATGATAACTAGTGGTTGAAAAAAAAAAAATTTAAAAGGATATTTTTTTCAGTTTCTTCTTCAACTTTTTTTTGTTTGCCTATCTTGCATCAAACTACTACTACCACTTATGATACCGATACGGAGAACAGAAACAGAAACAAACGAATTTCAGTATTATGTTGCTGAAGTGCTCTCAGTGACACCTTCAACTTCAGTTTTGGCCGTTCTTCGTTTTGTGCACATCACCAACCAAAAAGAAACCAAAAAAAATTGGTGGGGAAGGAGAAAAGGTTTTTGTGGAGATGGCCTGTCGGAAACTCTCGAAAAAATTCAATTGCAAAAATGATAAATTAAAGGTAAAACTTTTCATAGACAATCTCTGCCCAATTTGACTGTCAAAAATGGTATTTGTGCAGCAAAAGAAAATAAATTTTTTTTTCATACAAGAAAAAAAATACGGCAGCGAAAACAACAACAACAATATTAACATTTATATTCGTGTTTGTATTATCAATAATAAACTAATAAAATTTTACTTCAAATGCTTTATAGTGTAATGTACTGCCTTCTGCGGGCTAAAAGATAGTCGCTAATTATCCAGTCCTTCCAACGTCATTCAGGCCTTGCTAATCTTATTACTACAGTTTTTATACACTATCAAATAAAGTAGAAAGAGAAAGACGAACAGAAAAAAACGTGATTTTTCAGAATTAATTATGACTACTAGACGGTAAAAATTGCGCTTGCAGTAAACAACTAAAATGGACCGATTAGAGTGGCTTTGTACATCGTCTAGAATGTTCTGACTGTCTTAGATGGCTAAAAATATCTGAAAAATTACATCCAATTTGTTGACTGTTAATGTAGACTTAATAGTACAAAAAGGATAAGCTTTAACTTTCTCATGTTTTAGCGAGATAAAAAAATAACAATATGCCATCAAACTATAAAATTACTGCTATTAGCAATTAACGGCAAATCGATAACATTTTCCTAACTAATCAACAATTTTTTTTTTTTTTTTGGGCAATATGTCATCCACTGGTGTTGGATAGACGATAGTCTATCTAAGCAGTTAAGGTAAGCATAAAATTTTCTGTTTATTTGCCTCATATAAATTTTTAATCACAAAAAAAAATAAAAAAAAAAAAAACAAAAAAAATTTTTCTCTAGTCACCAAAATAGAACCTCGTCATTAACCTCGATGATGTCAACAAAAAATCGGACAGCAGAAGAAAAAAAAAAAGCAGAAAATTCAAGGCGTATCTGTTTTGCAGATTTCAAGAAGAAGAAGGAGACGACGACGACGGCAACGACAACGATGCCGATGAAGAAGAAGAAAAAGAAGAAGAAGGAGAAGGAGGAGAAGAAGGAGGAGAAGAAGACTGCCTGACTGATGGACAGACTGACTGAATGCATACGTATACACACAAAACAAACACAAAATCGATGACGATCGACTCAGAAACCCAACAATTATACCCCAAAAAAATTTCTTTTTTTTTTTTTTTTTTTTTTTTTT